AATTTATGTCTCTATCCCAGACCTCTCCCCTGAATTGTTGTAATTAGTTCCACTGAGGTATAATTTACATTCAACAAAATTCATCAATTTGCAGTATACAATTTGATGAGTTTTGGCAAATGAATATAGTCGTGTAACCACTACAAAATCAAGATATAAAACATCTCGATCATTCCAATCCTTTGCCATCAATCCCTTCTCTCCACCCTTTGCCCCTGGTAACCAATAATCTTCTTCTTATCATTAGAGTTCTGTCTTTTGTAGAACCTCAGATAAAAGGAATCATACATTTTGCGGTATTGTGAGAATACCTTCTTTCACTTAGGACATGATTTTGACACTCATCAACATTGTTGCATCTCTCAATAGTTCTTTACTTTTTATTGCTGAGTAAAATTTTACATATAAATGTACGATTTATGTATTCATTCATTTGCATTCCCTTAATAACTAATAATGTTGACCATCTTTTCATATGCTGTTTACCATTCACATAATTCATTTGGCAGAGTGCCTAAAAATCTTTCACCTATTTTTGTTATCAGATGTTTAACTTCTTCTTATTGAGTTGCAAGAATTCTTTTTATATTATAGAAACAAGCCCTTCATCAGATGTATACTTTGCCAATATTTTCTATCTGTAGTTTGCCTTTTCCTCTTCTTAACAGTGTATTTTAAAAACAAACGTTTTTAATTTCAATTAATTCTTTTTTTTACCATTTATTTTTCCTACGGTTCATACGTTTTGTGCCCTATCTAAGAAGCATCTGCCTAATCCAGGTTACAAAGATATTTGCCTATGCTTTCTTCTATAATTTTATAGTGTACAGTCCATTTAAAGCTAATTTTTATAGGATGTATGGCAAGGGTTAAGGCCCAGATGGCTATCAAATTGTTCCAGTACCTTTTGCATCTATTGCAAAGACTATCCTTTCCTACAATGAATTATCTTGAAAACTTTGTCAAAAATAAATTGACTACATGTGTATCTATCTATTCTGGGACTATTGTTTGTTTCTATTTTTCTATATGTCTCTCTATGCCAATGTCATGCTATTTAATAACTATAGCTTTACAAAACACTAGAGATCAGATACTATATGTTCTCCAATTTTGTTCTTTTCTAACATTGTTGCAAAGTTTATGAACATTTGGACTGATATATAAATTCTTGAGTTGATTTGTCAATTTTTACCAAAGAGCTACTGGGATTTTGATAAACATGGAATCAGTTTGGGGACATTTGATATTTTAACAATTAGTCTCCCAATCTGTGAACATGGTTTATATCTCCATTTATTGAGGTTTTATCTAATTTCTTTCAGTACATTTTGTGCTTTTGAGTATACAGATTGTATACATATTTTATGACATTTATCTCTAAAATGTTCACATTTTACCACCATCAAGTTAAGTGCCATAAAAATAGTATTATTAAATTAATATAAAATCCCAATTGTCAATTGTGACTATATAGAAATATAATGAAGTTCTGAATATTGACCTTGTATCCTGCAGCCTTGTTAAACTTACTTATTAGTTCCAGTAGCGTAATTCTTCAGTTTTTGTTTTTTTTTTAATGTGGATTATCATGTCATCTGCAAATAAAAACACTTTCCTTTCCAATCTCTATGTATTCTGTTCCTTTTTCTTGCCAAACTGCACTAGGAAGGAATCACAATAAAACACAGAAAGAAAGTAGTATATGTGGACAGGAGGCGAAATAGAAGTATATTGTTGAAGGTTTCTTTTACTATGTCGGAAATGATTTGTCATCTGGTGGGTAGACTGTTGTGTTAGTTACCTATTGCTGAATAACAAAATACCCCCAAACTTAGAAGCTTAAAACAGCAATAAACATTTATGATCTCCCACAGTTTCTGTGCAATCTGGATGGGTTTAGCTGGGTGGTTCTGGCTAAGGGTCTCTCATGAGGTTGCAGTCAAGATGTTGAAAGGGGTTGCAGTCATCTAAACACTTTACTGGTGCTGGAGACTTTGCTTCCAAGATGGCTCACTCACCTAAATGGGAAGTTGATGCTGGGTCTTGGCTGGAGACTTCAGTTTCTCTCCGAGTAAACTCTCTGTAGATGGTGAGCATCCTCAGGACGTGGTAGCTGGGTTTTCTCAGAGGAGCAATACAAGAAAGAGCAAGTTGGAAGCTCCAATATCTTTCTGACCTAGGCTTAGAAGCCATACATTGTCAGTTCTCCATATTCTTTACAGAGTTTGGCCCTATTCCATGGAGGATGAGACTATATTAGAGTTGAACAGTAGAATGCAGAGACTGTTGGGGAGCATCTTAGAAGCTGCTTAACACAACTGTGATAAGTTACAGTGTCCTTATCATATACTTTACTTCTATATATGTTATAGAGTCAACAGTACATTATTTCTATTTTGCTTTAAGCAGTCAATTATCTGTTAAAGAGACTTTAAAACTAAGAAAATTAAGTATTTTTCATGTATCCATATATTTATCATTTCTGGCATTTTTTATTCCTATATGAAGATACAAGTTTCCATCTGGCATCATTTTCCTTCTGCCTGAATAACTTCCTTTAATATTTCTTATAGTTAGTTTGCTGACAACGAATTTTACCTCTTTTGTTTGTCTGGAGAAGTGTTTATTTACCTTAATTTTTAAAAAATCAAAAATCTGGATATAGAATTCTAGATTGACAGGTTTTTTTTTTTTTCTTTCAACACTTGGAGGATTGTCATTCAGTTTGTGTAGTTTCTGACAAGAAGTTTCTGTTGAGATAGTGTCTTTTTCTCTCTTCTGGCCGCTATTAGGATTTTTCTCTTTATCAAAACTGGTTTTCTAAAATTCAGTTACAATGTGTGTTGGTGTGATTTTCTGTATGCTTTTCCTTCTTAGGATTCTTTTAGTTTCTAAGATCCATGAGTTTATACTTTTCATCACAGTTGGACAAACATTTGGCCATTATGTCTTCTCTTTTTACCCTCCTCCACCTTGTTTCAGTGGTTCCAATTATAAGTATATTAGCTCTCCTGACTTTGTTCCTCAGGTCACTGATGCTCTGTTCATTTTTCTATTAGTCATTTTTCTCCCTGAGCTTCATTTTTGATAGATTCTATTGCTCCTTCAATTTCACTCATCTTTTCTTCTGCAGTATCTAATCAGCTGTTGATCCCGTTCAATCTATTCTTCATTTCAGAGATGAAATGAAGAATCTATTGTATTTTTCATCTCTGTAACTTTGATTTCAGTCGTCTTCTATTATCTATATCTCTCTTCATCATGCTCATGTTTCCCTCTACCTTACTGATGATGTGAAGCATATTTATAATGGACAATTTTAGTCATTACATCACCTCTGTCATTTCTGGTTCCGTTTCTATTTATTGACATTTTTCTTCTGATTATGGGTCAGGTTTCTTATTCTTTTTAATGTCTAGTAAATGTTTTATTGCTTTGCAACATTGAAACCTCACTTAATAGGGTGGTAGATTTTGTTATAACCCTTCTAGTAGCCTTAGGCTTTGTTCTAGCACACAGTTATATTACTTAGTAGCAGTCTAGCTCTTTTGAGGCTTGGTAGGAAATCCGGAGCATATTTTAGTCTAGGGTTAATTTAGCCTCACTACTAACTTCACTACTGAGGTATTCTTCTGAGGATTCTATTCAATGCCCCTATATAATATAGTGTAATAAGGTCTTTCCACTCTAACTGATGGGAACACAAACTCTTCCCAGCCTTAAGTGAGCTTCAGGAATTACTTGACTTACTGCCTCCCAGTAGTTCTTCCCCCTGCCAGGGGTATCTTCCTCTCTCACATGCACATACCAAGGCTCAAGGGACCCCTTTGTGATTTCTGGGTATGTTCTCTCTTATCTCTCTCTCTCTCTCTTCACCAAGCCTCCCCCCACCCCGCCCCGCCACCCCAAATTTCTATCCACTTTAGTCTCCGTGAACTCTAATTTCTATTCCCTCCACTAAGCTAGACTACCAGGATCTGTTCGAGGTTTCTCTCTGATATAGTTTGGCTCTGTGTCCCCACCTAAATCTTACCTCAAATTGTAATCCCCCATGTGTCAAGAAAGGGACTTGGTGGGAGGTGACTGGATCATATGGGCAGTTTTCCCTATGCTGTTCTTGTGATAGTGAGGGAGTTCTCAGAGATCTGATGGTTTAAAAGTGGCAGTTTCCCCTGCGCTCTTTCTCTTTCTCTCTCTCTCTCTCTCTCTCTCTCTCTCTCTCTGTATCTCTCTTTCTCTCTCTCCTGCCACCTCTTAAAGACATGCCTTGCTTCCCCTTCACCTTCCACCATGATTGTAAGTTTCCTGAGGCCTCCCCAGCCATGCGGAACTGTGAGTCAATTACACCTCTTTCCTTTTTAAACTACCCAGTTTCGGGTAATTCTTTATAGTAGTGCGAAAACAGATGAATACACCCTCTATCTATTAAAGTTTGAAAACTGCCTCTAGGTGGCAAGCCAAGCTAGGGCAATAAGGTTCAATTTGTTTATTATGAAAACATTGTTTTGTCCAATTTTCTATTTGTTTGAGGTATACAGTAAATGTAGTCTCTGTCATCCCATTATAGCCAGAGCAGAAATGATCTCTGGAAATCTTTTTTAAATGTCAAACTACTTGCTGGACACCTCTACTTGCAAATATAAGAGGCATATGAAACTTAACATATACAAAGTTTAACTCTGCTCTCCTCTGCATGCCCTGAATCAAGTAAACCTGCCCCTTCTTTCATGTTTCCTGTGTCAGTAAATGGCAACTCAATTCTTCCCACTGTTTGGACCAAAATTTCAAAACTTCTCTTTCATACTTAATAGCTAAGCCATCGGCAAATTCTTTCAAATCTTGTCTTCAAAAGTATATACAGAATCTAATCCGATCACAACCATCCTAGTTTACTTCAGCTCATCATCCACTCTTTCCCTGGATTATTGCAGTAGCTCCAATATTAATCAGATTCACTGCAGTAATACTGCATAAAAATTATTCCTCCAATGTCAGTGGCTTTCAATGCAATTTATTTCACGCTCATTGGTCTACAAGTCTGTGGCTTTGCTATGCTTGGCTGGGCTTTGCAGGGTCACCCTGGCTTCGCTCTAGGCTGCTGGTCAGGTTCAGGTTTGCTCCATATCTCTCGTTCTGAGGCCCAGGCTTAAGGGGCACTGGCTGCTTGCAGTATTCTTCTGGCAGATGCACAAAAGGGTTGGAAGAAATTTGCTGGGTCTTTTAAGGTTTTGCCTCCCCACTGGCACATAATCACTTTTCACTCACTTTCCATTGACTAAAGCAAGTCAAATACACAAATCCAGTGATGATGGGCTGGGGAAATTTTATGGAGAGGACAGTAGGGTGAATATTTGCTGAATAATAATCTACCACAGCCTCCTAATCGCTCTTCCTGTTCTTTCCCTTGCGCTTCTCAGTCTGTTTTTAATATAGAATCCAGAATGTTCCTTTTAAAACACACTAGGACCCTTCTGTGCAAAAAACCCATCAATGACCGCTCATTTCATTCAGAGTCCATACAGCAGTCTACAAAGCCTTAGTCACTCCTGCATCTGGTCACTTTTCTGATTGCATTTTCTACTATTGTCTCCCTCCTCTCTGAGTATCAGCAACACAGGCCTCTTTCTTTGCTAAGCTGGAACAGGCCAGGCAAATTCCTGTCTCAGGCTTCGCAGTTGCAATGTCCATATCTGAAACATTATTCTGCTCCCCACCCCAAGTTGTCTCTCATCCTGTTCAGATCTCTGCTCAAATGTGACCTTAGTGAGGTCTTCCAAGAGTACCTTATTTGTACTTTCACACTCTTTGATACTTTCTGGCCCTCTTCTTTGCGTTACTTTTCTCCAGAGCACTTATTATACTTTATTTTATTTACTGTCTGTCTCCTTCCACTAAAATGTGATATCCAGGTTCTAAGAGTTCTAAAGATGTTGTTGGAGAAAGAGGCTTCGGAAAGCACTGCTCCAAGCCCAAGCTGCTGTCACTAAAGATCCTGTTTCCCATCTTCATGTTAGGTGTTTTCTTAATAATGGCCACAAGGTGGCATGTATAATACCTAATTCCAAAAACATAGCCAAACATACTCATAGGAGTTAAAGTTGTATCATCCAGTATATATAACTTTAGTTCACAATGGAACAGCACAAATTTCCCAAATAAAATTTGGAAAAAATGAACAAGGAAAAAAGCAGCCCAAATCACAACTACTACCACCACACTGACCATTGACACCATAAGATACATAGTTTAAGAAATCTTTTTCATTACAAAATTTTAGCATGTGAAAGCACAGGTTGAAGATTATTCCGGAATTTTCTTCAGGTCTTTGTTATTGGCTTGGTTGCCTGTTTGCTTGCTTTTTAAATCTCTGTAGCCTACTAAGCTTTCCTTTTGAGAATGACAGTGGTAAGGGCCTCTCTTATGTCTTGAGGCATTTTATTTCAAGAGTTCACATGATGTAATCTTTTTTATGCTTCTCCCCTCATAACAGATAAGTCTCTGAGTTCACGACCATAAAGAAGTGATTAGCCAATTATCTGAGAACCACTTCCTCCTAAGTGAGAGGAAGAAACAAGTCAAAGACAGAAGAGGCAGCAGTGTGGGAAAAATTAAATGAGAGACCTTCCCAAATCGTTCTCTTTTCCTGGTTCTCCTGTAAGGTGAGAATGGACTATATACACTCTGAAGTGCATGCAACAACATGGAGTGGTTATCTGTTACTTATTATATTGCAGTTCTCTGTTGTCATCCCTGAATCTCTGGTAAATGCTTGTTAGAGGCTACGGTGTGATCTCAACTGTACTGTAGGAAATTCAGGAAGGGTTGTATGCCCTAAATAGGCCGGGGTGGGAAAGGTGGAAACATCAACATTTTCCTCGGTGCCAGGGTGGGAGTGAGAACAGTGACTAATGAGTTCTTTGAGGAGCAGAGGACAGAAGTCCTGAGTGCAAGATCCAGCTGTCCCTTCCCCCACAGATCCTCACTCCACTGCCAACTTTCAAAATACTAATGAATAAGGAATCTCATTGGTTTCCTTTTAAGAGGCATCAAAATTCTCGTTCCACGTAAAATTCTTATAGGTTTATACAACGTCTCTGCATTTGTAGCACCCTCTGTGTTTTCCATTGGATCTCATTTTTGAACAATTTCCCTTTCAAACAAAGCAAAGCATTTTCCTAGTCATTCAAAACCATAACCAAGTTACTTGAGAAATACTTGGAAGTACTCAAAAACGCCTGAATTTCATAAACCATGGTCTGAATTCCATCCTTTATTCACTTGTAGGTATGTGGCTAGAAAATAGTAGGCAATCACATTCTGCTTCCTAATTAGAAAGCAGCATACCTAAAGAACTACATTTGATATTTCATGAATAGAGGGCTCAAAATCTAAGCCAAAAGTAAAAAAATACATTATAACTAGTGATGAAAACATGTTGTACCAGGAAAGTAAATCCTCATAAAAAATGACAATCTACAACTTAATGAGCTCAGAATTACGCTAATATTTTAATATCCAAATATTCCTCAATATTAAAAGCCATTATACGAAAGTACATACATGAATCAGGTGAAGTAATTCACAAAGGCACTCAGAGAATCTTGGACTCTTATTAGCTTCCTTAAGTCTGTAATATTATTCAGAAAAGGAACTAGGTGGAAGTCTACGTATTATTTTCTGAACTTGATTGTTAAGACAAAACTGGTTATACACGTCTAGCTTCTCTAACTGGCCTGACATTCAAATAAAGACTACATAAATACACTGTTTGTTTATGCACACTTGTACATGGTTGTAACAATTTTTGTATAAATATAATAATTTTTTTAGAATAATATAGAAATATACATGATCACTCTGTAAAACAGTCCCAAACAGTTACCAAGTTCTATTCTCTCTTATGTCTAAGTCACTGTCTTGGATTATAGTTTATGCTATGTGAAGTCAATTCTTTGCAGCCACAAGAGAGCCTTTAGTTCTGTGCTCTACTATACTAAATTCGTGGTATTTAGTTATGAAATTCTGGACTTTTGACAATCCTCTAGCAGAAAAGCCATGGGTTTCCATATGCCCTCGAATATGGCACTTCTGAAACCTTACTGTGTATATGAATCACCTAAAAATCTTCTGAGAAATATTCTTAGTTCACATTTCAAAAGGCTCCATGCAAACAAAGCAGCAATGGCTGGGAATTATTTGGCCTTTGTTGTTTCCCTGTTTCTCCTCTGCTCGGTGACAAAAAACTAAAGAACATCTATTTTGTCCTTGATGTATAACTGCAACTATTAACACTAAGTAAATTATAATCCATAGTCCAGTCTAGTGTTTGTAAAGAAACCCCCATGCTAGTCCTCCCCGCTATAATGTAATCTCTTCTGGTGTGTCATTCCAGTTCCTTACAGTAATTTCCTAATTTGAGGGGAAAATTGAGTTTGCCTCTCAAAACAAAGCTGATATATGGTATTGTAAAGAAAAGAACAAGATTTCAAAGCATCCTATTTTAAGTCTATTATGAAGGAAGTCACTATAACCAGCCTTTACAAAACAGCTTATGTTAAAAGTTGGGATATTCTGAAAGTTAGTTAAAGAGTATTTTTATTTTTTCTGTACGAAATAACCTTTCCTCTAATTTAAACAATGCAAGTGTAAACTAACAGCATAATTCCAATATATAACTCTTTCCAAATCCAGAGAAAGAAATGATGTCTTTTAACCACCTTTCTGTCTCTAAGAATGAGAGATTATAGAAGATGAAATGTAGGAGACACAGTGTGAGATCTTCTCAGAGAGCTTTAAGGCCCCTGCTACTTGTAGATAAGAACCAGCTAATTAGTGGGTTTGAGCAACAGGGATCTGATGATGCCACACCAGGAAGACCCTCAATCAGTGCCCACTGCAGAAAAGAGTGCCAAGAATGTTCTCATCGGCCCAGCTGAGGGCACTTTTCCTGGAAACAGACAATATAAACGTGAACTTTAAAAGGATACTAGCAAGTATTATTCTTTCCATTTTAGGGACTTTACACAGTGTACAGTGAATAGCGGGTACTTCATTAATAACTCAAGACTTTTCAAAGCCTAGAATCAGAGCATTTGACAAATGCTTATTAGCACTGGAGCTGGCATTTGTCAAGCTCTGACTTTAAACTCCTTTCCCCTCAGAATATCTGTGGTCCAATAAAATATCCCTGCCCCAAAAGGCAGGTGTGAGAGGGCACAGTGTTTGTCAAAAAGAAACACTGAGCTCTCTCTAAAAGGCAAATATACTTCTGCTTTTTCTTTGTTCTAATGAAGACAATGGCCATCCAACATGCTTCAGAGGATCAGAGGACATCCACATGCATCCTTGGAGGCCACTTCCCCAATTTTTGCTGCAATCCCCATGTATCTGCCCACTGGAGACCAAGAAGATACACAGTTCAGCTCCTCTAATCTTTTCACAAATATAATACCGCTTAGGTGCGTTTGTAGAATCTTGGGGTAATCTCATGCCCAGCAGTTAATTACCAGTTCCTTGTTGCACCTTACAAAACTACACTCACTAAGTAACCACACACGACATGCTTATTCATTTAGGCCACCATCGACCTCAAACATTGTTCAAGACTTAAGACAGAGAGGTGCATCACCATGAAGAAATTATTGGTACTATTTTCTCTTCTACTTAGAGTCGTAGGACAGCAGAGCCATATGACACAAACAAAAATCAAACCAAAATAACATAAAATATTACCACTGCTAAAATGAGAAAAAGAATGTGTTAAGATGGAACAGAAATGCTGAACATACCTCTTTCCTTTCACTGACTTTTTAAAACACTGCTACGTCCCTGTCAAATTCGGTTTGAGAAGTTAGACTCACACCCTTCACAAATCTTAAAGCCTAGGAATACATCTTCCAGTAATATAGTAACTAGTGACAAAATTACTCTACAGTCAAGCAAGTTGAAAGAAGTATGGAATTCATTTTAAATGGGTTATTAGCTGAATACTAAAATCAGTCATTCAATGTCCCAGGATCATTAGCTTCCTAAATTATTAAACTTTCAGAGCTTATAAAAGCAGCACAGCCTCGCTGTGTATTTCAATCACCAAGTAGAGTCAAAACATGTTTCAAAAGATCACTAAAATGCCTGCTGGGACAGAGGAAGGTAAAAAAACAAGATAAAAACAAACACTAGCAAAACCCACCTAATAAGCTTTTAGAAAACAGATCTCCCTCCAGATCCTTGCAAGATTTCTTCTTTGACCTGATTCCCTTTAGATATAATAATTTATTGGTGCCCCTACTGTCAAGGTTTAAGTGAGTCATCGCTTTGTTCTCTATATGTCAAAAGCACTCAGTACCTTTCACATATTCCTCTCTTGAAATTCAGAATGAAACAATTCACAAAACCTGTTTTCCCTCAGAGATAAGGTTATGCCAAATCAGCCAACTCCCTGAGAAAAAGAGCATCCCCAGTATTTTCATGTACTGGTACCATTTATTATAAAGGGAGACTTTTTAATTTTGTTGATTTGTTTGTTTTGAGGGGCCACATAAATTACTGTAAAATTGCTTTAGATTTCAAACTCAGGCAGTGACATATAGTAGTTAAGCGACTAGACTTTCTCAGACAGAACGGAAATCTGGTAGGTTTTACTACTTACTAACCCACATGAAACATGGGAAAGTAACATTAGCTAAGCATTAATTACTAAGGCACTGTTTAAAGTGCTTAACTTGAATGAACTCATTTAATCCTCAAAAGTCTCTATGAGATAGGATCCTATAAATAAGGTAACTGAGGTAAAAACAGTAAGTAATATGCTCAAGATCACAGAGCTGATAAAATAAAGAATTCAGATTAAATTCAAGTAGCCCTGTTGCTAAAGCCTATATTCTTAACCACTTCATTCGTGGTTTTTAAAAATTTTAAATACAACCCACTCCAAGAAGTAATCTTTTAAGGGCCAGGCGTGGTAGCTCACACCTGTAATCCTAGCAGTTTGGGAGGCTGAGGTGGGTGGATCACCTGAGGTCAGGAGTT